GGGATATGGGCATCAGTGGCCGAGTGGATAATGGGACGGCCTCTCGGTTCTTTTTCTTTCAATGTAATAGTTTACAGGGTTTTACCCGTCCATTGCTCATTGTGATATAAATGAAAAAAACGCAAAAAATGCACGAGCTTTACTTTTATCAGATGTTCACATTGTGAAAATTTTTATTATTTTGGATTCTTCGTGATCTCGTTTCATATATGTTAACATTTAAGCTTTTGATTTGTTATATTGGATAGTTACAAGGTAAAGTATTACATCTAAAGAAAAAAAACCAAAAACCAAAAACCAAGAGCGAGACCGAACCCCGACCCTACTACCGAAAAGACGCCACACTATCCACCACGCTTTTCAATCACTATTCCAGTGATTGAAAAGCGCCCTTTTCAATTTTCTTTAATTCTTTAAAGTCCTCTAAAGCTTCGAAATTTCAATTCAATTTTTACGCTTATTTGGCAGATTTTGATTTCAAATTATGAATCTCCATACTCGATTTCGTTTCAATTTCAAATTTCAGTTGGATCAATTTTTATGTTTTTGATACCATTTTGTTGCACTTGCCAAGATCTACAGAATGGTACAAAAATCATAAAATTTGACTTACGGAAACGTAAGTTAGAGCGAGTTACGGAATTTCCCTAGTTGCGAAATTCGAGAACTCCCAAACTGTTTGATGTAAGACAGTTAAATGCAAATTGAGTAGCGCAATTTGCATATGAACAGGCATCAATTCAATTCAAAATCTTTTTGCACTATTTTGTAGAGGAGATTCAGAGCTTTCGAACAGTATACAACACTTATTGGCTGAGGCTTGCAATCTCTTTACTTTTGGAAAGATATGTGAGCGCTGATTTCATTTCCATCACCCTAATGTTTTTGAACAAGTGTTTTAATCAAGACAAACAAACTTTTAAACCATCAACTTACTGGACTTCTTACTATACTATTGGGTTGGTGAATTGAAAGCTGCCGGTTATTGTCATATGTGACAGTTTGAGGACTTTCTTTAAAAGAAACCCATTTTGGTGTCAATGGAAAAGTTGTAGAGAATCAAAAATTAAGCTTATATCCAAATTTTCAGAACGACTCAAAAGCTGGTTTTCAAGAAATGCCAAATTTACGAATTTTCACAAAACTTGCATTTTAAGCGAAACTACTAAGTGTATCTTTTTGAAAATTTGGTTATAAGCCTAATTTTTGATTCTCTACAACTTTTCTATTGACACCAAAATGGGTTTCTTTTGAAGAAAGTGCTCAAACTGGGCTGACGGCTGACATCTCCAGTTCTCCATTTTTGAGTCTCACACTTGTCTCACACACAAACCAAAATTCTACTACGAAAGAGGAATCCGCAAAATGCCTGTAAAATGGGCAGAAGTCGTCAATAATAATGGAAATTATTTCGAATGAATTCATGGTTTTATGCTGAATAAATCTTAGTTCAAAGTCCGGCAGTTTTCAATTCACCAACCCAATAGTTTTGAACAAGTGTTTTAATCAAGCCAAACAAACTTTTAAAAAACAACTTACAATACTTCTTACTATACTAATAAGATGTCTTATTATACTTTGTTAAAAGATAGTAACTTTTAGTTAGGTTCAAAAGTAAAACACAAGCTTTCTTATCGAGTTTTTCAATTTAAATCCTCACTTGTAGATGCACAGGTATTGCCATCAGATCGGAGAATCTCTGCACAGTAATTGCCTCGTTTCCAAATCGGGTAATTAGATGCTGAAATCATACTTCATTTTGAATTTTGACCATCAAAACTTGCTTGCATAAGTAGCCAAGAGTATTTGTTGAATGCTTTCCGGGCAACGTTCACGCTTTTTTCCTGTAAGCCGAGCGCTAAAAACGATAGAGTTATGAAATTCTCAAAGTTAAACTTTACTTGTTGAAAAGAAAACGATATTCTTCATCAAGCAAAACTCCTCATCTTTCATTTCGGCTTTTTTCAAAAGTGGCATAAAAAAGTTTACGCCAAATGCCATGTGAAGGTTATAGGATTGGTTCCGGTAGAGACTTTGGGAAAATCTAAAACAGAATAAAGAATAGTCTGTGTTCTTTAAGAAAAACAATGTTTTCCAAAAAGTGTGCCAAGTTACCGTACCCTGAAGTTTGTTAAAATATTTAAGCTGAACTAAACTTGAACCAAACCAACAGAAACCAAAGTTTTTCGCTCTTTAGT